TCGCACTCTCCGCTGTGTCTTCCTGGGCTTCCCCACCGACGCTCCACCCTGCCTCGCGTCATGTTCTGTCCTCTCAGGACGTCACCTTCGACGAGTCGGTCTGTTACTACCGACTTCACCCGCACGCGTCCCACCCGGTCCCCCTTGCACCCCTCTTCCTGGTACCAGTCCCCCCCCCCCGGTAGACCCCCCCCCCCCACAGGGTCCTGCTCCCTCAGGTGTGTCCCAGGTAGACCCACCCCCCTTGGATGAGCCAGTTGAGATCTCTTCTGACTCCTCTGACTCACCTGAGGGGGGTGACGCCGTCGCCGACGACACGGCGACCACTCGCCACACTCCTCGCTTGGCGACCCCCCCGGGTTTCCCGCCACAGCCGTCTTCGCCGCCTCCGCAGCCTGCTGCTGTGGACTCTGGAGCTGAGACTACTGGAGCTGGGGCTGGGGGTGGTGAGTCTGGGGGTGCCCGCTCTCCTCGTCTGGCTACCCCCCCCGGGTTCCCACCTCTGCCGTCTTCGCCGCCTCTGCAGCCTACTGCTGTGGACACTGGAGCAGAGACTGAGGGTGCTGAGACTGAGGGTGCTGGGACTGAGGGTATTGAGCCTGAGGGTGCTGGGACTGAGGGTGCTGGGACTGAGGGTGCTGAGACTGAGGGTGCTGAGACTGAGGGTGCTGGGACTGAGGGTGCTGAGCCTGAGGGTGCTGGGACTGAGGGTACTGAGACTTTGGGTGCTGACTCTGGGGGTGCTGAGACTTCGGGTGCTGACTCTGGGGGTGCTGCGAGTCCTTCTGGAGGTCCTGGTGCTGGAGGTACTGGAGCTGCTGCTGGTGCTGGAGGTGCTGGAGCTGGAGGTGCTGGAGGTACTGCTGGAGGTGCTGGAGGTACTACTGGAGGTACTAGAGGTGCTGCTGGTGCAGGAGGTACTGGAGCTGCTAGTGCTGGGGGTACTGGAGCTACTGCCGGTGCTGGAGGTACTGGAGCTGGTGGCACTGGAGGTGCTGGTGCTCCTGGTGCTGGAGCTGCGGGATCTGCTGACCCTGGAGGTGCTGGAGCTACTGGTCCCGGAGGTGCTCGTACTGGAGGTGCTGGAGCTGCCGGAGCAGGTGGTACTGCTGGTGCTGGAGGTGCAGGAGGTGCTACTGGAGCTGCTGGCACAGGAGGTACTGGACGTACTACTGGTGCTGGAGGCGCTGGAGCTGGAGCTGGAGGCACTGGAGGTGCTGGAGGTACTACTGGTGCTCGAGGTGCTGGCGCTGTCGGAGCTCGTGGCGCTGGAGGTGCTGGTGCTACTGGTGCTGGAGGTCTTGCTGGGGGTACTGGAGGAGCTGCTCATGCTGGAGGTACGGGAGCTACTGGTGCTCTTCGCCACCTTCTCAGTCTTCCGCCAGGTGCTACTGGCTTCCCTGTGGCAGGTACTACTCCTCCGTTGCTGTGTCCGCCAGCGGACCAGTCACAGCCACCGCTGCTACCACACTCCCCACTGCCTGCTCCTGCTCCTTACACTGCGGTGTCAGAGTCCCTGACTGAGCGTCGAGAGCCTGAGACTCGTGCTTCCACCCCTGAGCGTCGAGAGCCTGAGTCTAGCTTTGACCTTGAGCCTGAGCCTAGAGCTGCTGTCCGTGCTCGTGTTCCTCGTGTTCGTCGTCCGCGTGCTCCGGCTGTCCCCGGCACTCACGATATGACACTCCGTCCTTCCTCTGTTCCTCAGCGTGTTGTACTACCGTTACCTCCTGCGTCCTCTCTGCCTGACGTTGCTGACCCTCCGTCTGACCTTGCTCGTGCGTCCAGTCCGACTGTTACTCGCCTTCTTGCTACGGTTGTGACGGACCCTACGTTCTCGTCTCCTGCTGCGTCTGCCCTAGTAGCTGAGCTTGTTGACTTTGCTGCTGTGTACCGCCTAGACTACCTTGCGAGTCTTGTCTCTGACCCTGTCCCTGCCTGTCCTCCGTCCGTCGGGGGTGAGACTGCTCTTGGCTGTACTGCCCTTGGCTGTGACGTTCTTGAGGACAGACAGGAGGAGCTGGAGTGCCTTGCTGCCGCTTCACCCCATCACGCGACCATGCTGCTTGCCCCTGAGGGAGACCCGGATGCACTTGACATCCCCACCCCGCGCTCCTACAGGGAGGCGATTTCGGGTGAGTACTCCTCTCAGTGGCAGACAGCCATGGACGCAGAGATGGCTTCCTGGAAGTCCACAGGCACCTACGTCGACGAGGTTCCCCCACCTGGGGCGAACATCGTCAGTGGCATGTGGATTTTCAGGGTGAAGCGGCCGCCGGGTTCTCCGCCTGCCTTCAAGGCACGTTACGTTGCTCGAGGCTTCAGTCAGCGTGAGGGGGTCGACTTCTTTCAGACCTTCTCCCCCACCCCGAAGATGACCACTCTTCGGGTGTTGCTACACGTTGCAGCTCAGCGTGACTACGAGCTGCACTCCCTCGACTTCTCGACAGCTTTCTTGCAGGGTAGCCTTCACGAGGCCATCTGGTTGCGCCGTCCACAGGGTTTCACTGGGTCGTTTCCTGAGGGTACCCAGTGGAGCCTACGGCGACCAGTGTACGGCCTGCGTCAGGCGCCCCGTGAGTGGCACGACACACTGAGGACGACACTTGCGGCTCTTGGGTTTGCTCCTTCGACTGCTGACCCGTCGCTGTTTCTACGCACCGACACTACTCTGCCGCCGTTCTACATCCTCGTGTACGTCGACGACTTGGTTTTTGCTATTGCTGACACTGAGGCACTGGCCCTAGTGAAGGCAGAGCTGCAGGAGAGACACACATGCACTGACCTGGGTGAGCTGCGGAGCTATCTTGGCTTGCAGATCACCCGGGACAGACCACGGCGCACCATCACCCTCACTCAGTCACACATGGTGCACCAGGTCCTTCAGCGCTTCCGCTTCACTTGGTCCTCGCCACAGCCCACTCCTCTGTCTACCGGCCACTCGCTCTCAGCTCCACCTTCGGACGAGTCCGTAGAGCCGAGTGGTCCGTACCCAGAGCTTGTGGGTTGCCTCATGTACCTGATGACGTGCACACGACCTGACCTCGCGTACCCTCTCAGCCTCCTGGCTCGCTACGTGGCACCTGGTCGACACCGAAAGGTGCACTTTGATGCTGCGAAGAGGGTACTGGGTTACTTGTGCAGCACATCGGGCATGGGGCTCGTGCTTGGAGGACGGGGTTCGGTGGTCCTTACAGGACACTCTGACGCTTCTTGGGCCGACGACCAGACGACTCAGCGTTCGTCACAGGGTTACACCTTCAGTCTTGGCGCTGGTTCTGTCTCGTGGAGGTCCACTCGTTCTTCTTCTGTGCTTGGTTCCAGCTGTGAGGCCGATATGTACGCTGGGGCCATGGCTGCACAGGAGCTACACTGGCTGACCTACCTGCTGACCGACTTGGGGGAGCGGCCTCGCTCTCCTCCAGTTCTGTACGTCGACAACAAGGCAATGCTTTCCTTGTGTCGCGAGCAGAGACTGGAGCACAGAACGAAGCACATTGCTCTTCGCTACTTCCTTGCGCGTGAGCTGCAGCAGCGTGGTCAGCTGCGCCTTGCTTACGTGGCCTCTCGGGCCAACACTGCTGATGTCTTCACCAAGGCCCTTGGGGCTGGTGATCATCACCGTTTCTGCACTGCTCTTGGGCTTGTGCCCACTCTGCCTCACCTGTTGGTTGCTTGACTTGCTCTTGTTGTACACTGCTATATATCTTTATGCCTGCATGTTTTCTCTTGCTAGGTTGTGATCAGTGTACTGCCTTGCTATTATATACCTCTGCATGTGAACTGGCCTTGTGGCCACTTGCTTGTGCTCAGAATGCGTGGTGACTTTGTGATCCACCCTGAGCTGTGTTCTCTTCTGCAGACTGGTCTTGTGACCGCTTGTTGTGTTTGCTGTCCCCTACTTTGCCTATGGGGGTGTGTCAGATTACAATTGTATCTCTAGGCTACAGTAGGGTCACTCCTTAGTGAGTACAACACTTTAGGGTTAGGTTTCCCCTACTTGTACTCACCTCTTGCCTAGTCCATCCATCATTCCTAGTTGTATTCTTGACAATGGGTACCGGTCACGTTATTTGTAAGGAATTTGAATTCCTTACTGTAGTCAATTATTAGCGCGATGACATCCTAATGAACATTCGTCAGTTCGGTTCAACCAACAGTATCGCCCCCAAACCATGTCTGAGTTTCCCCCTCGCACTAATCACAACCCTTCCGAGCCACCTTCGCCGATGTCCCCGCCTAGGTAGGATTCGCCCTAGTCCCGTCGGTCGGTTAATCATAACCTCTATATTCGTGTGCGTTGTGCACTCATACAATATTGAGCCCCATATTTTACCATTCGCATGTTACTCCTTTAAGATTCTACCGTGCATACTCCTAGCACCACACAACCCTTGGTTTTCTCTCGGTCTTCCTAAACTCAGTCGGTCGGGAACCACTCCGCGCACATCCCGTTCAACGTTTTCCATGGCCAGCCTACCGCACGCTGCCGTCTGCCGCCTCACGTCCACCACCCGTTTGAACCCCCACAGTCTCGCCAATCCCGCAACACGTTCGTATCCAGGGCTCTCACTGCCCGCACCCTCGTCCGTCGCCCCTCTCTCTTCCGCCTCGGCCCTGCCCTCCTCCGCTCTCGCTCGCACTTGTTCCTCGTCATCCCCTCCGTTGTGCCCGTCGGTAACGTTCAATTCGAGCCTTGATGGCCTTGCGCCATCGTCCGTTTCTGGAGATTTCAAAAGAGATCCTGGTCGGTCATTACGGAGGGTGCACGTGGCGAGAGGTGAGGGCGGCCGAGGCGCGGTGAGCGTAACGACGACGGTAGCGGATATTCAGGCGGAGATCGCGGAGCTCGAGGACGAGCTGGAAACGACGTTTGGGCGCGGTGAGGCAATGGCGGATGGGCAATGGGCGATGGGCGATGAATGAGGAGACGTGATAAATATGCGGTCTGCATGGTAATGTAGGTCAATGTCGGTGCACAGGCCACGCGGAACGCACTTCACATGCCCATCCCGTCCATCCCCGCCCCTTCCCCTCATCCATCCGCCCTCGCCGTCCCCCCTCTCGGTCCCTCGCCGTCCCCCCTCTCCGTCCGTCGTCCCCCTGCAGTGGAGGCGGCGTGGCGGCGCTACCACCGGCTGAGGGCGGCACTGGAGCGACTGGACGAGGCCGCAGCGAGGGAGAGGGGCAGGGCGGCGGGCCAGAGGGGAGCGCGCAGCACTGCTGCTGGTCTCAACAGCAACGGCAGTGGTGGCAGTGGCAGTGGTGCTGTCCTGACGACGCTAGAGCGGCTGGGCGTGGAGCGGCAGCGAGTGCTGCACGCGCTGACGCGCGCTGAGGCCCGTGCTGGCGTGCTGGAGCGACTCGTGCGCAGCCTTGCCCAGGTGCTTCTCCCCACCACGCTCCTTGCACTTGGATGTGTTTCCTCGTGCTCACGTCTTTCCTGCACGTGTCATCTCACACCAGTTAATGTGGCCTGCCTTGCCTCACATCGGTTTTCACCCCGTGTCTTCCCTCCCTGTCCGTGACATGTCCTGTTGGAGTCTGGGTGAGGGGTTCCAGCAAGGGGTGAGACTGGACTGGAAATTCGGGGGTGGGCAACAGTCGTGAGACGCGGCATGCAGAAGTTGCGTGGGAAGAGGGGGTGCGCATGGCAGATCTCTTTCCTCCTCATTCCCCCTTTCCACCCTCTCCTCCCATCCTCCCTCGCACGCGCAACAGGCCATTGCAATGCGTGAGCGCCGCCTTCTCGGCTCGGCAGCTGTTACCCGCGCCTCACCCACAGCAGCCCTGCAGCGGTCAAGGCTGCCCGCAGCACGGGGCAGCAGCAAGCGCAGTGCAGCAGCAAGGGGGCGCGGGCAGGGGAGCGAAGCGCAGCAGCGGCAGCAGCGAGCACAGGGGCGGCGGGAGAGGATACTGAGGATGTACCTGGGGGAGGTGCAGGGGCTGCAGGAGGAGGTGCAGCGCAAGGTGGCTCTGCTGGAAGAGGTGCTGCACGCGTGCGAGGGCGAGGGGAGAGGGGATGCGCGCTTCGAGGCGCGTCCACACGGGAGTGGCGGTGCAGGGAGGGAGGCCGTGGGGCAAGCGGTGGGGAGTGGTGAGCGGAGATGGAGTGATGCTGTGAGGGGTGCAAATGAAGGTGGGAATGGGGAGGGGGGAGGGAGTAGGGGGCAGCAGAGCAAGGCAGATGGGCGGAATGGGGTTGAGCAAGGCGGGCGGGGGAGCAGTGTAGAGGCAGGAAGGAGTGAGGAAGGGGCCAAGTTGCAACAGGCGAGGCAGCTGCTGGTGCAGCTGCAAGCACTTGAGAAGAGGTGCGGCTTCTGTTTCCCAGCTCCCTTGCTGTTGTTCGTCCATCTCAAGTATACACATGCCGTGGTGTGTGCATCCTCCACCTCTCTGTCTCCCCTATTACGCTTGCACTCTTTCACTATCGCACTTGCGGCCTTGTCATGTCACTATTGCACTTGCGTTCTCTCCCCCCACACTTCCCATGCCATTTTCATCTCTGTCTTGATGTGCCACTTCCTGTCTTCCCTGCTGTCTTTTGCAGCTTACATTCCAAACTTGGTCGATGACAGAAACGTCCTGTAGCTGTTCTGTAGCTCCCGAGACAAACTGTCGCTTTTCCAACCAGGTGAAGTTGGTCTGTACAAGACTTGCATCGTGGTTTGACCTGATTACGCATTTTGAACGAAGTCTCAGTCCATACAACCGAACCAAAGCTGGACGAAGCTGGGTCTAGAGAAGCGCATGAGTTTCTTAGGAGGTGTTGTAGTGGAAGCTTTGAGTTCTTAGGTGTTGACAAAAGGATAGTTGGAAAAGATGTAGGCAAACGAAGTCCTTGTATTTGGTCAAATGTGCCAATCTCGTGGAGGGAGATGATTCTAGATTTTCCCGCGCGTTTTTTCTGAGCAGCCTCCTGCCAGAAAGGGCTGCCGACAATCACCCTGTGATTGATTCGGGGGCTGAAGCGACGCGGTCAGCTGCGCTTCGGCCATATGACAGAACTAGCAGAGCAGGTATTATTGGTTCTTTCTTGGCCGTCACCACCCTACACCATCATGAACCCCAAATAAATGAACTTTGCATGGCCCAGCCAGCAGTACTGTATATCCCTAGGTTGGGGCGAAATTTTCACCTCGAATTCTGGAGAAAGTACCTATGAGGTGGTGGTGGTAGGTCAGGGAGAAAAATATGACGCTGGGAATTATTTATTAGGGGTAAATACCAAATAGGCTGTTTGTTTCGCTCCCACCACCACCGATTACACCACCACACCACACTCGATTTCTGTCGTTTTCTCAACACCCCCACTGATGCGGCAATGTGAAGCGCTGCTGATTCGATTGGTCAGCACCGCACAGCACCTGCACATACCCTTGCTGAACGAAGATCTTCCTGTTGCTTGTGACCCCCCTGCAGCGCAGACCACCAAACCAGCCAGCATAACGAGGGATCTATTTCGCAGTACGGCCGGGTCACGACGCACAGCACGTAGATCAGGTCATACCTGCCCAATAAGATCCTCATCGCCCAGAAGAAAACAGAAGCGAGCCAGCGCGCGCCATCCAGCCAGCATGAGATGAAGGCAGTCTGTAAACAACCGACTGTTGCTTTCAGCCAGAATCCGTCTGTGGGATGGTATCCGAGCCTCTCCGTCACTCAAGTCAAATCTACAACTTCCACGAAGAGGGCGCGCACGTACCTGGAGACGTAACTTGACGCAAGCAGGCTAATCGGTCGAGTAGGGTAGTCCACTTCGAAATATTTCCGCAGTTCTCGCGCCTGACCGTGTCTCGTCGCGTCTACCTCGCACGAAGTCCTTCGACGTCGCTTAACACACACCCGCTGCCCCGCTGAACACTCCAACGCTTAACACTACTACGACTGTTCAACCTCAGAAAATCGCGGACGTAGGAATTATGGGTTCTCGAGTCGCGGCGACTCGGCGCTACGGCAGCAGCCGCATACCTAAACCGCACGATGCGCGGAGGTCTAGTAGAAGAAAAATCACCGGTGGTGGCGCCCTGACGCTGCTTCTCGCGGTGCTCGTGTTAGGTCAGGGTGTTGAAGGCGTCGCCGCGGCGGTGGACTATGGCGACGCGATGGCGAAGGCAATTCTGTTCTTCGAGGCGCAGCGGTCCGGGCAGCTCACGGGTGCCTCCATCCCCACCACCATCACGTGGCGCGGCGACTCGGGTCTCTCCGACGGCACCGCGCAAGGGGTAATAAAAGACCCGCGCGGCTTGTGTGGCTACTTGGGGAAAAGGAGCCGAGCGCCATACCGCTCGCTCACTCGCATGCACCACCGGTCTCAACCTCCGCTTTTCCCTCATCTTCGCGGCGCGTGTCTTTCGCTCCTCCAAGCTTGACCAGGACCCCCCAGCTCCCTACCCTCCCCGACACCACACCCTCCACCCCCCCCTCCCTTCACCCCCCAACCCGCTCTCCCTTCCCATCTCCCCCCCCCCTCCCCTGTGTGCGCAGGTGGATCTGCGCGGGGGGTACTACGAGGGCGGCAGCAACGTGAAGGCGGGGCTGCCGGGGGCGTTCGCCGCCACCATGCTCGCCTGGAGCCTCGTTGACTTTGGCCGCCACATCCTCGCCGCGGGCGGCGCCGCGCAGCTCTCCGCGGCGCGCGACGCGCTGCGGTGGGCCACGGACTACCTCGTCAAGGCGCACACCAAACCCGAGGAGCTCTGGGCGCAGGTAGGGGAGAGGAGGGGAGCTCTGGGCGCAGGTAGGGGAGAGGAGGGGAGCTCTGGGCGCAGGTGGGCAGCTCTGGGCGCAGGTGGGTGGGGGAAGGGCGTACGTCGGGGAGGTACAGAGAGGGGTGTGCGCACAGTTGGGGCGGGGGACAGGGCGGGGTGTAGGTGCAGGTGGTGCAGGGCGGGGGAAGGCGCAGGTGGGCGGGATGGGTGTGAGCGCAGGTCAGGTGCCCGCGCTTGCCTGCAGCATCTGAATCCTCTTTTACGGATCTCAAAATAAATGAGATCAGTTGGTGAAGCAGCTCGTAAGCTCTGGGTAGGGTGCGGCGGCACATGGTGCAGGTGGTTGGGGGAAGGGAGGGGTGTGGGCTAAGGTCAGGCACCGATTCTTGCCTGCGCCTTTGATGATTCTTTCATGTTTCTAGACATTGAATCATTCTGTAACCTGTTCTTGCCGGCGTCTCTGATCTCTCTGCCTGCATTGCATGCGTGTGGGATGTGGGTTGTGGCAGGTGGGAGACGCGGTGACGGACGGGGCGTGCTGGCAGCGGCCGGAGGACATGAGCACATCGCGCACGGCATACCGCATCAATGCCACCCGCCCCGGATCCGACCTCGCCGCTGAATCTGCCGCCGCCCTCGCCGCCGCCTCCCTCGCCTTCCGCGACGCCAACGCCTCGTACGCCGCCTCCTGCCTCGCCCACGCGCAACAGGTCAGCACGCCGCAGGGGGGTTGGGTCTCACGCGCAACAGGTCAGGGGGGGTGTGAGCTTGATGGGCGCCATGGCATGTGATGAGATAAGGACAGTGATTCAAATGCGTGTTGAATGTGGGGGTTTGGTTGCGCCTCTACGTTTGTCAGGATGGTGTGGGGCAGAACTGCACTGCCAACAAGTAGTCCCATTCGGATTATCTGTCCGTGCTGCTGCTTCCTTCCTTGTGCACTTACAGCCTACCTCCACCCGGGCAGCTGCCTGCAGCATTCTGATTCCCCCTCTTCCTTCCTCTGCCATCCCACCCCATACATCTCTACTCTCCTCCCGCCTCCCGTCCCCTTCAACTCGTCTCTCCCCCTTATTCCCCTGACCAGCTGTTTGTGTTGGCTGACAAGTACCGTGGTGTGTACAGCACCGTCATCCCTGGGGCGGCACTCAAGTTCGCCTCCACGGGCTACACGGTGAGCAGCGCAGGAAGAGAAAGAGTACTCATGTAGCGTGTAGCATGCAGCTGCCCGCAGGAAGCATGCCGCATGCCGCATGTAGCATGTAGCATGCAGCACACTGCCGCCCCCAGGGTGGAGGCGTGTGGGCATGTGGACAGCATTGGGGCGCGTACCTCCTGGCGCAAGAGCCCTTGTGACCAGTCCATGTACCTGCTGGTCCAAGAGCTCGCAGCTGAGCTTGGGAGAAAGAGCAGCACATGGAGAGAAAGAAAAAACGAGAGTGATCAGAGTAAGGGAGTTGTTGTTTTGTGCAGCAGAGGAAGAGAGAGGAAGTGAGAGGTTGAAGAATTGATGGACTCAGGACGTGAGAGGGAGGGAGTCACAGAGTAAGTGAGGGAGTGACCACAACGATGATTTGTCCCGGTTGGTATTGTGAACTCGGTGTGCGTGACAGCACCAGTTGCTTCTCCCTCCAGCCTCTCATTTACCTTGATGCCCCAACGGTGACATACCACCAGTTCACTTCCATTCTCCCATCAGCCCACCCTGCTTCTCTTCCTCCTGCTCCTCCCACCTCTCTACCCCTCTCCCCCCCCCTCCCATGCGTGGCATGCAGGACGAGTTGGCGTGGGCGGCGGCATGGCTGTACAGGGCGACGGGGCTGAGGCGGTATTTGGAGTATGTGCAGCGCAACGAGGCGGCCATTGGGGGGACGCAGCAGATGCACACGGAGATGAGTTGGGACCAGAAGCTGCCCGGCGCGCAAGTGCTGCTGGCACAGGTCAGTGCTGCTGGCACAGGTCAGTGCTGCTGGCACAGGTCAGTGCTGCTGGCACAGGTCAGTGCTGCTGGCACAGGTCAGTGCTGCTGGCACAGGTCAGTGCTGCTGGCACAGGTCAGTGCTGCTGGCACAGGTCAGTGCTGCTCGCTATGGGCAGGGATGGTGCTGGAGGGTTCATAGCAATTGTGCTTCATTGAGCCTGTGCCTCCACGCCTCATTTAAATCCTTTTGCTCAGCACCAGCCCCCTGTCTCACGCCCAACCCCCCTCCCCCCCCTCCTCGTTTCTCCCTCCCCCGCGGGCACCAGGCGCTGTGGGCGGGGCTGCCGGCGAGCATCCAGGGGAGTGCAGCGATAATGAGGGTGGTGGAGGGGTATGCAGGCATGGCGGAGGTGTATGCGTGTGCGCACATGCCTGCCAACCCCCTGCGAGCCGTGTACACCACGCCGGCCGGGCTGCTGTATGTGCGCGGCAGCAACGCCCAGCTCGCCCTCTCCTCCGCCTTCCTGCTCACTCTGCTCGCCGACTCCCTCGCTGCCGCCTCTCGCTCCCTCGACTGCCAAGGCGTCTCCTTCTCGCCCTCCCAGATCACCGCCTTCGCTCACTCCCAGGTCCGCCCGCCACCATGTGTGCACGTAGATGCATGCATGCTCGCACGCATGCACGCGGGTGGGTGCACAAACAAATTCATGTGTCCTGCAGAACCCCTGCATGCACCATGAGCATCCGCCTTGCACTGCATTGGCCCGGCGATAGGGTAGCTGCTGACCCGGGGGGTGTGGCAGCACACACATGACCCACCACTCCCCGTGCCTCACCCGCTGCCTCCCCTGCTTCCGTTTCCTCCCCCACTTCACCGTACCTCAGGTAGACTACCTACTGGGCAGCAACCCGCTCGCCCTCTCCTTCATGGTCGGCTTTGGCACTGCCTTCCCCCAGAAGGTGCACCACCGGGCGGCGTCCATTGTCTCATTCAACACGGACCCGTCGCCAGTGACCTGCCAGGGCGGCAACACCACGTACCTGCAGAGTGCCTCCCCCAACCCCAACGTGCTCGTTGGTGCCATCGTTGGCGGCCCCAACGCCGTGAGTCGGGCTTGAGGGAGGGGTGCAATGCGGTAGGGGGATGTGGAGTGAAGATTCAACCGTGCGTGGAGTTATGTGCATGTCCATGCACACACGTTATTCATCCTTTCCCTCCCCTCTTCATCTTCCCTCCGATTGTGCCTCTGCCCTGGCCCCAATGCACGTACCTTGCCCCACCCTCTCCGCTCCCCCGTCCTTTCTCCATGTGCCCGTGCCCGCCCGTCAGACGGACGGCTTTGAGGACTCAAGGCAACACCCAGCCTTCACGGAGCCCTCAGCCGCCGCCAATGCCGTCGCTGTCGGCCTTCTCGCCCGCCTCGCTGCCGGCGCCCTTCCCCCTGCCTCCCCGCCTCCCCCCTCCCCCCCCCGCTCCCCGCTCCCCTCCTCCACCCAAGGGCAAGCGCCCCCCGCCACCCAAGTCCACAACACCTAGAGCACCCCCTGCTCCTGTGTCTGGTGAGATGCTGGCGGTACTGGCAGCTGGTGGCCTGCTCATACTGCTCATCTGCTGTTGTTGCTGCTGCTGCTGCTGCTGACTGGATAAGCCTTGCATCCGACTTGCCTCGCAGTTTTGTGGTATGGAAGGCACCTTGACTTGCACACTGGTTACGCTCTTTACAAACCCTCCATCTTATTTTCTCCTCTTATTCCTGTTTATGTGAGTGTACTTCTGTGTGTGCGTGCGTGCATGTGTGCGTGCGTGCATGTGTGCTTGCGTGCATGTGTGCGTGCGTGCATGTATGCGTGCGTGCATGTGTGCGTGCGTGCATGTGTGCGTGCGTGCATGTATGCGTGCGTGCATGTATGCGTGCGTGCATGTGTGCGTGCGTGCATGTATGCGTGCGTGCATGTTCGCATGTGTTTGTGCGTGCATGTGGGTGTGTGCGTGTGTGTCCCCTGAGCAGCACCACTGAGCCTGGTGAACGTGTCATGCACAGTGACGGGCAGCTGGCAGCAGTACGGGGAGGAGCAGAACATGTGGAGCTGTGACGTGAGCAACACCAACGCCTCCTTTGCTGTGCGCGACGTGGCCCTTGCGTGCTTCAACTTCGAGCCCTTCAATGCATGGAATTTCGAGGTGGGCAGCAGAAAGCGGAAGGCTGGGGCGAGGAAAGAGAGCCAGAGGGGCAGGAGCGGGGTGAGCGGGCGAGTGGGGTAGGTCCGAGGATGGAGCAGTGGCGAAGGGTTTGGGGCAGGGGTTGGGGCAGGGGTTGATGCAGGGGTTGATGCAGGGGTTGGGGCAGGGAATGGGGCAGGGAATGGGGCAGGGAATGGGGCTAAAAATTACATTACAAGTGGAAGCCTTCCACAGCAATGTCCTTTGGTTGACATGATTCTTGTGCTGTCCTGTGATTGCAGGTTGTGTCATGCTCTCTGCCCTCATGGGCGCAGTACATTCCTGGAGGTGGCAAGCGCAACTTTGGGTTCATCCAACCAGCGCGGCTAAGACCATCATTCAAAGCCACCTGGGTCACCTGGCTTGGCCCGCCTCTCCCTCCTCCCAGGAAACCAAGAGCAGCAACATGCATCCCCCCATCTACATTCTTGGGAAAGCTACAATGCCAGGTTCTAGGCATGGGTTGTTGCATGCAAGTGAGCGCACCACCACCACCGCCAGTAACATAGTGGTGATGATGGAAGCCCTGCACGATTGAGCCTTGTCTTGTTGGTGGACGGAAAGTTGCTTGCGGTGGATGAGTTGGGAGCAGGGCCCAAAATAGGTTTTGGCCCACCCTGCCTATTCAGTGTTCCAGCATTTGCCAACCCTGACTGTTATGGTAAAAAAATTCTAAGACTGATAGAGACAGGGGAATAAATTTTCAAGTCTGATTCTGTCAGTGCACCCAAGTCCCAAACACTGATTGCTATAAAAAAAAATTGCCCGCAACACATACTCAACTAGTTTCGCTTTTTTATTGTTGCTACAACACACACTACCAAACAAATTCCAAATCTAACCACTAATAGGGACACTACCCTCGTGAACCCCTTCTGTATACAATGCATTGCTCTCGTTGCTTCCGCTAAAGTCTTTTGTAGCACAGCGCAGCTCTCCTCTGAATATTGCCACAATCTCAAACCAATCCACCTCATACCGTCAGCCCCCGGATAGTAGCGCCCCTGGGGTTATAATAAAACACTGTTTTTTAGGGGGTGCGCTTATAATTGAGGAGTTTTATAAGTGCCGGCGTCTATAAAATGGCAAAAGTGAAACAGTTTTTTTTTTACATGTATTTGAAGCTTTTTCAAACGGGGATTCAATCCACATCTAGAACGTTCGTCACTGTGCATGAAACGCGCGTCAAATTGCCAACAAGGCGTGGAATCACGCCCGCCACGCCTTGCTAGCCTGGCCAGATTCATCGTACAGAATCTGGCCCATGCCAACGCACACGCAGTTTAGTGTGCGACTGCCCAATCAGGGTCGACTGTCGTGCTAGGCACGACGCAGTACAACAACGAACTGGGCATATGCGGCAAGATTCCTTGCCAACAACGCTTGGACCTCACCACATCAGCTCCTCTGCGGGGAGATCTTGACAGATTCTCCCCTTTCCCTGCAGAGGAACCCGGGCCGCGAAGTTGGAGGGGTCTCCGGCGAGGGTTTCAAACAGGCGTCATTCTCATCGTTTTTTCCAGATTTCTTGTTTTCCCTCGGCCTGCCTTAGCCATGGCGGGCCTACCAGGCACCCATTTCCTCTTTAGGCGCCGAGGTGCTGTTGACAAAACTCCCGATTACTCCCAGTGGCAGAGTCGCCCAGCGCCCATACCTCCTGCTCCTCCTGCGCCTCCTGCTCCTCCTGCGCCTCCTGCACCTCCAGCGCCTCCTACTCCTCCTGCTCCGCCTAACGTCGTCATCAACGGTGTGCCCGTTCTGCAGCTTCTCCCTCGCTGCTACTCTGCTTTCGACGCGTACATCTCCGAGCCCGAGCCCGAGCCCAAGCGCAGCGCTGAAGAAGAAACAGGCCCCGGTCTGTCGCCACGCTGGGGAGAGCCGGAAGACTGCCCGTACGACGAATCCGCCACTGGTGCCGAAGACGACGTTGAGTGGTGGGCGGCCGACGGTCTTCCCGAGGACTTGCCTGTTCCAAGTTCCCCCCCCCCAATAAAAAACGGCCCCACCCCTCTAAACAGAATCGCGATGCCCGCCCCCCGTCTCCCAGGAGTCGGCCTTCAAAGCACAGGCGCAACTCGTACACTTCTCAGGAGAAGCTGCAGTGGATTGCTCAGATGGAGTCCGGAGCTGTGAGTGTGCGGAAAATGTCGCGCGACACTGGTATCTCCCGAAAGTCCCTGGCAGAGTGGAAAACGCGCAAGGGTGAACTCGAGGGCGCGCATGGGGCTCGCAAGCGCCTTCATGGGCGTGGTCGGTCGTCGTGGTACCGCGACATGGAGATCCAGGTCTACTCACGTGTACTTGCCCACAGGAAGAAGTGCCTCGCCGTGTCGGTCGGCCGACTGCAGCAGTGGTCACGTGAGGTGATGAAGAGCCTGCATCCTGAGGTAAAGTGGGCGGGATCTCAGAGGTGGACCGAGCGTTTTCGACGTCGCTGGAATCTCACTACCCGAGCGAAGACTCGAGTCGGCTAGAAGCTTGCCTCTGGTGAGTCTGTGTTCTTGTCGTTGCTCTCGTTTATCGCTGATGTGCGTTCCATGTTGTGTTAATGTTTTTGTATTGTTTCTGTCTCCCCGTCCCTTTCAGACTGCGAGACGCAGGTGCGGAACTTCTAGAAGTTCGTGCGACACACCCGCCGACAGTACGGCATCGACAATCGCTGGATTATTAATGCGGATCAGACCCCGCTCTGGCTCGAAATGCCAGCCGAACGCACGGTCGAGGAGGTGGGGGTCCGTTCCGTGCCCGTCCGCAGCGGCGGCTATCAAAAGGAACGCGTGACGGTGATGCTCGCCTGCACCGCCAGCGGCGAGAAGCTGAAGCCTTGGGTGTTCTTTAAGCGCAAGACTGTTCCAAAGGGGAATTTCCCCTCCGGTAAGCCGAGCATCTTGTGCAGTCACTGGTTAGTTTGCAGTTGTTTTTTCCTATGACCGACGCAGTTCTTAACGAACGACTTGTGCGGATGTGCAGATGTCGTGGTCGCCGCACATCCCAACGGTTGGATGGACGCGGACGGCGTCCTCGCGTGGCTCGACGGAACGGTGAGCCTGTACGTTAAACCGAGGTTCGGAGTGCGCAGCAGGAAGGCGTTGCTGGTTCTTGACTCCTACCGCGGGCACCTGACTAATGAAGTGAGGGCGAAATTCGGCGAGCTGCATATCGTCCCCGCCGTCATACCAGCTGGCTGCACATCGGAGGTCCAGCCCCTAGACATCGCGGTGAACCGCTCCTTCAAAGTAGTTGTGCGACAACTGTACCAGGCATGGTTCGAGAGCGAGGGTGTTGACTGCCTGACCGAAAGAGGTGAGCTTGTATCTAAGTGTTGTTTGTTTTTTACCTGTTCCCACCCCGTCTAACTGCAGTATCTTTCTATGTGGCAGGCAACATCCGCAAGCCACCACCAGAGCTGACGCTCAAGTGGATCTCCAAGGCCTGGAAGGCGGTGCCCAAGGAGTTGATTGAGCGCTCGTTTCTCACCCGTGGCATCCGCAACGCCTTGGACGGGTCTCAGGACAGTCTTTGCCTGGAGCACCGGCGGGACGCCGTCAAGGGTGAAGTGGAACTTGACGACGAGATTGCAGCAGATGGATTCTGCTGCAACAACGTAGACGAGCCAGAGTCGGATGGCGAGACAGCCCAGGAAGGTACCGCCACTGCTGAGGGCGATGCGTAGGTTGTGTAGGTAGAGTAGAAATGTGTAGGCTTTGAAAATGTGGTAGAATATGTAGAATATGCGAAGATGTGGTAGAATATGTAGAGATGATGAAGAAAATCAATAGGATAGTAATTGTAACAGCTTAACATAGAAAATAAATCATATAAAAGGTTGGCGCTTATAATTTGTAAGGCAATAGGGGTGCGCTTATAATCCGTAAGGCTCCAAGGGTGCGCTTATAATCGAGGAGCGGATATAAGCGCCCTCATCCTTTTATAAGCGCCGGCGCTAATCCGAGGCCTGCGCTTCTATCCGGGGGCTTACGGTACTGCACCAAGGAACAGCGCATGAGGTGCTCCAGGCTCGTGTATGAGAGGCACCCTCTTCCCCAAGTCTTGATGAGGTTCTGTTTGGAGAACCCCCAGTCTCGCATTCCACCGTGCTCAGTGGCAGCACGGCGACGTCTTGCCACATCTTCATTATGTTCGAGAACAACTGCTGCCAGCATTCGTGACGCATCATGTTCGAGAGCGCCTGGTGAAAATCCTCCCCGTTGTGCTGGCTGAACATGGTGGAGGTAAACATCCACAGCTCGTTGCCTGCCTTGCTGTAGTTGAAGTCTGGTGTACGGGGTGGGGGTTAAGCAGGGCTATATTGGCCAGATACCGGGAGGGAGGGGGCGCATTAATCCAACAGAACACGAGGCATACATGAAGCTGATGTTAAACCAGATTGCACTAAGGCGCAGCAAGAAAGATACGTACGTCAAGTCAATGCTACAATGCTTACGTGGCAGCTTCTCATGGTAGAGCGTGTGCAGCAAACGAAGCCATCGTTTGAATGCCTCTACGTGCTTCGCATCGTCGAGGAGGTATGAAGCTGTGCGGAACAGCTTCGTCCCCTCTAGATTGGCGAGTTCCCGCATCCGCCATTCCAGTTCCTTGTCGACTGCGCGCACGAATTTCAGAGAGAGCTCATAGCAGGCCGTGACGTCCCCATCGGTCTCCAGGTCCTCCAAACGCCGCTCGTGCAGCTTGAACTTGAAGGACATATGATTTCCTTCAGAGTCAACTCCTTCAGCCTTCGTCTCGCGTTTGTCCATCTTCTGGTGCTTCTTGATGAACTCCGGAAGAGACATGTGCTCCCCACTGCCAAAGACGTGGCCGGGGTCCCCAGTGAGGTAGAGCGCCTTCAGCCGCATGCGCGTGTGCGCCACAACGGTGACATTGATTTGCTGAGTCAAGAGAAAGACGGTTAGTGTCAAGTTATGTACCATTCACTAAACAAGCCAAAAAAAACATCCCGGGAATCGCCGCAAACACTAACGTGTCGCTGCTGGAATAGCTGGTTCAAGTGGTTGAGCTCCCACAAGACATCGGCGAGGAAG